GCAGGTGCCATGCTGGCTCCTGGGGAAACAAAGATGAATGCAAGAAATTCTGCAAAGAATGAATGCATCATCCCCTGCATGAGAGGGAGAAATCCCATGCTGTTGTTCATAGGGAAAGCTTAGCAGCTCTCATTCCTGAGAATTTTTCTCATACTGAATATTAATTCCTCATTTGCAGCCTATTTCCATTCTTTTTTTGTTTTTAGTGGAAAAGGAACAATATCACTGCAGACTGTTATTCCCATATCTATATTTGTTTTGGGGGGTGAAGTTTCTTTATTGTTTTTACTTTGTTGCTACTTTTTGCTTTTGTTTTTTACTTTTCTGCCTTTCTATAATCTATTCTGCTCTCTTCCCACATATCTGCAGAATATGTATGCTATGTAACCATGTAACCAGAAAACACTGAACCACACACTTATGTGGAAGACATAAACTGTGTGTCTACCTAGGGGGATTAACACAAAATGGCTGATTTAACAAATAATCCTTGAACTTGTCAGTATTTTCTTAGAAGCAGTGGGTTTGGGTTGGAATTCAGAGGAGATGCTTTATAGTGCGCAGAGTATAAATAACATCATTTTAATGTTTTAACGCATTTTCACATTTATTATTTCTTTATTTTCTCTGTAATCCTATTAGTTATAAGAACAAATATGATTATCTTTATTGGGCAGGTGAGAAAAATGCAGCTCTAAGAAATTCTGCTGTATGAAAGGTACATACAAAAATAGAATAGGGCCAAGCTGAGAGATTAGTTACCTATACTTAATCTGTGTTTCTCTACTTGTTTCTGATGTTTTTATGAAATCATGTAACACTGACTGCACTTTGATAGAAGATGAAAAGAATGACATGTCAAACATATACATACTGGTCTTTTTGACCTTCCTGCTCACTCCCCTTCTCAAAGCCCAATGATAAAACCCCTCCTAGGTATGCTTCAGACCTTACTGGATGACCCTGTTGTTTGGGCAAGGACAGACATCTGAGCTTAGATGTAACAGTGGGCTCTTTTTCCCAGAAGTTTGAAACTGGCTTATAGGAACCACTTAGCATTGCACTAGTGGCTCTCAAATAAGGAATATATAAAGCCAAGGCTGACCTACGGGCAAGTTAAGCCACGCAAGTCAGTCGTGACAGAAGAGTAAAACAAATGGGCATTTACTTCCTGGTCAAATGAATTCATTTACCCCCTCCTTTAAAAAAAAATATCTTTAAGCAATCTTTATACCCAGAACAGTGCTCAAACTCCAGCCTTGAGATCAGAAGTCACATGCTCCACCAACTGAGCCATTCAGGAGCCCCTATTCCTTTGTGTGTGTGTGTGTTCCAGCAAAACTTTATTTATGGACACTAAAATTTGAATTTCACATAATTTGCACATATCACATAAAATATTTCATTTACTTCTATTTTTCCCCAGCCACTTAAAAATGTAAAAACAAAACAAAACAAAACCTAAAGAAACTCAGTCTTATAAAACAGACATTAAAACAGAAAGTGGGCTGGATTTGGCATGTGGGCCTTAGTTTATTGACCTCTGCTCTAAACCATTCTATTCCATTGCTTCCCAAATATCCTCTGAGTTATGAATTTCAATGGCCTCTTTTAGAGATTTTATTTATTTATTCATGAGACACACACACACACACACACACACACACACACAGAGAGGCAGAGACGCAGGCAGAAGGAGAAGCAGGCTCCATGCAGGGAGCCTGACATGGGCCTTGATCTAGGGTCTCCAGGATCATGCCCTGGGCTGAAGGTGGCCCTAAATCGCTGAGCCACCAGGGCTACCCCTCTTTTAGGATCAGATTATGAAACAACAGAGAACTCCACTGCCAAAGCCAACAGTGGTAATAACAATAGTCACAGTAATAACAATAATAATAAATCACATCTTCAATTGCAGTAAAGAAAGGGCCGGCCCTTTTGTTTGTCCTGCAGCACTGGGCATGACAGTGTATCCTGTCCTTAGCACAGTAGAGCTCTGGCTGAATGACTAAAGTGCCAGGTTCATGCCAGAATCACGCAGTATGTTCCCTGAGCCCTGGTGCCACTGGGCATCCCAGGTGCCTTTCACCCATCAATCTATTCACCAATCCTGTTTCGTTTTTCCACATTGCACTCAGGGCACCTGACATTACATTATATATATGCATATTTCTTGCCTGTCTTCCCTACCAGAATGAGGGCCGGAGGGTTGTCTGCCCTACTCATTGTTTATTCCCAGAGTCTAGAACCAGGTTTGGCATACGGTGGGTATTCAATACATATTTGTCAATTGGATGGATCATTTTTCTTCATTAATCTCCCACTTGGCATCAGGCAGGTGGAGCCTGAACTCTCATAAATATGGGGTCTTACTATACAAATGGAAATCTCTGCTTCAGAGAGAATCAGTGAGGACCAGGTTACTGCTGGCCGAGGTCTCTGTATAGCTGTATAGGTTGAGTAGAAGAGGCAAATGGGTGTGGGGGTGAGGGGAAGCTCACAGTTTCTTCATTGTCTTACACTTTCCCCATGGCTCAAAGGATAAATAAAGTTCATTTCCATGACTGAACACCAAAGTACCAATGATGAACTAGCCCAGAAATGACCAATCCAGAGCCTGAGAACACCAGGGGCCCCTATTCCTTTTTGAGGCCAGTTGTACTTCCTGGCTGGGAGGTATTCATTCAACAAATTCCCTTTATGCTTAAGTCCTTTGAGTGATTTCAGTTCTTTACAATCAAATGAACCCCAAGACCCCAAAAATGCTTTACTCAGGCAAAAAGAAATCATCTTAAGAGATCTGTCCTGGGGCTTTTACTATTTTTCTAAGCAGAGATGGCATTTGTGTCAAGTGTTTTTGCCTTTCCAGTGGTAGATGGAAGTGTTGTGGATTTCCTATGGAAGAGTAATTTGAGGAACTTTCATTTAAAAATTTTCCAGCAAGGTAAAAAAATAAAAATAAAATAATTTTTTTTTATTTATGATAGTCATACAGAGAGAGAGAGAGAGGCAGAGACACAGGCAGAGGGAGAAGCAGGCTCCATGCACCGGGAGCCTGACGTGGGATTCGATCCCGGGTCTCCAGGATCGCGCCCTGGGCCAAAGGCAGGTGCCAAACCGCTGCGCCACCCAGGGATCCCTAAAAATAAAATAAAATAAAAATTTTCCAGCAGGGGTGCCTGGGTGACTTGGTTGGTTAAGCTTCCAATTCTTGGTTTCCATTCAGATCATGATCTTGAGGTCCTGGGATTGAGTCCTGTGTGGGGATCTGTGCTGAGCAAGGAGTCTGCTTAAGGATTCTTTCTCTCTCTGTCCCTTCCTGGCTCACTTTTGCACATGTTCTCCCTCTCTCTCAAATAAATAAATCTAAAAGAGAAAGAAAGAAAGAAAAGAAAGAAGAAGAAAGAAAGGAAGGAAGGAAGGAAGAGAGAGAAGGAAGAGAAGGAAGGAAGAGAAGAGAAGAGAAGAGAAGAGAAGAGAAAAGAAAAGAAAAAGAAAGAAAGAAAATTGTCCTTAAGCCAGTGGTGCTCAGCTCTGGGTGCCCCTAGGGGACAGTAGGCTTCCTCCTGAGCAAGCTTACACATTGGGATTTCTGTTGTGCAGAGTCCTTGCCAGCGACTTCTATCCTCCTTCTCCCTGCCATCTGACTCATTAGGATCCTAGAAACCTCAGAATTCAACGTTTTTTCAGAGTTATTTTATTTCCTTAAAACAACAACAACTTTGGAATGCATTGTCACCCACTGGGCATTTATTGTGTTACTTTATTATGTTACTACAATTGTGGTTGTCTGTGTGACATTCATATCACCTTTCTCCCCGTATAACAACTCTACTGAGTCTCCTCAGTTTTACACACCAGGTGGCATTCACCTCTCCACAATGGCTAGTTCAAGGTTCTCCAAAGCTGAGATTCTTGTTCATTGTGAGATGTCATGTTCTCTCTTCCCTGGATTTTAGGGGGAAAGTATGTTGCCCTGATAGCTGCTGGCAGGCATCTTGCAATGGTGGGGGATGCCAGCCTGAGGGAGAGGCAACGTATGGAATAAGGCATAGTCAGTAGAGCTTTAGAGAAGTCTAGCCAGAACTTATGTGAGTAATGCTTGAGGCTTACATTTCCTATGGACTTTTAGGTACAGGTGCCAATGAATTCCCATTACTATTTAAGGCAATTTGAGTTCAATTTTCTGTTGTTTTCAGCATAAAGTATTCTGATGTAGAGCCTTTAAATTCATTTACTTCTCTCAAATTTTGGGTTACTGACTTCACATTAAAATATCCTCACCATCAGTGTATTGGCACAGCACTACGTACTTCCAGTGTCTTTTGCCCTCATGACAACCTTATGAGATAGGTAATACTATTATTGAGTTTCCACTTTTCGGATGAAGATACTCAGGTTCTGAGAGAGTGTGATTTCTCTAAAGACACAAAACCTCTAAGCAGCAGTAGAATCTGAATTAAGCCTATTGCAAATACCATATGACATCTATTTATTATAGAAAAGAAACAAGATAAAAATTCATCTTTGTAGACAGTTGGCAGCAATCACTTGTATTTGTGAAATACCTTCTCTATTTCCAAAGCATATTTGAGCCTACCCTTTTGACAAGTATCAACTGTAGGTGCTGACAGATACAGAGGCCAGTCACAGAGACTACCTAGGAAATGAGTCAAGGTGTATCTAACCAATGCAGGTAGAAGAAAGTGCTGCACAATAAAAAAGTTAAACAATGTTCTCCAATGACAGACGCAGTGTGTAAGCCTCTGAGTCTTCCAGAAAGGGCTTCAATATCATTGTATTTGATTAAGTCTGAATGAGTGAGGTACACATTGGGACTTGGAGGAAGTGTCACTGAAGAATAGGCAACCCCCTCCTTCTTCCAAGCCCGGCTGGATCCTTATGATCAGATCATCAATCCTGATATTACACAAAATGACCATAGAGACTGGTATAAAAGAAGCATCAACATACCTTCTTTTTTTTTTCTTCCCAGTTTTAAAAATGTGGAACATTTTGCAAAATTTCGATGTCATCCTTGCACAGGGGCCATGCTAATCTCTGAATTATTCCAATTTTAGTATATGTGCTGCTGAAGCAAGCACCACACCTTCTTTTAACGTATTTATTCTCCCTAGGCTAGCACAGTCTGGTCTAGGATCTTTCTGGTCTCAGAGTTGCAGAGTCAGAGCAAGGGTCAGTTATCCTGGTGTCTCTGAGAATCTTACAAGCCCTCAGACTAGCTATAAGTCTGTCAGAGCGATGATTATAATTTTATAGATGGAAAAGTTAAGATAATTAAGTGGGGGGTTAAAATTATTTGGCATCCAAGTGCATTAGGCGGTAACAGAACTGAATGAAAACTAAGGTATTTTGACTGGTTCTTCAATCCTTAGTTAACTAGGATGCATTAGTTTTTCATCCACGGGAAGTTACCCAGGCCAATTTTGTTGTAAGTGAAACCCAGAATAAAGATCAGGAACATCATTGGAGGGACAGGCTGTGCCTTTGAGTATAAAACCCAAAAAGAGTAAGGCTGGATTTGTTTGTAGTAATTAATGTTGAAGAGTTGGTAATGAGACTAGACACGTAGTTTAATCAGACTGTCTGGTGGTCACCCAGAACAGACACACTATGATGCCTATGACACTAATGTGGAAAAGCCGCAGTTTCTTGGCCTCATGAGTGACTGTCAATCCCCCAGACAATGCTGATTTCCCAGCATGGTGAGGGGCTTCAGGTCCACAAAGTTTCCAGGGCTTTCTCCCATGTGTTTTGATTAGTGCGTTTTTGATAAAGTGGGCAACAGTCTCTTTTCTCATTGCTAACATTCCCTTTTGGTGCACCAGCAGCAGCCTCAAGAAGTCTTCTACCACCATAAATTCTAAATGCTCTTGGCTAACTTAATGGTATTGGATAGTCTAGAACTGGGGGTATCTTAGATAATGGATAATTCTGGACAATTCCCATGTCTCACTTTCTCATTCACTCAGAAATACTTATTGACTGCGTTCTGTGTGTTGGGCCCAGTGCTAGTTCCTGGGTAGAGAATAAAGAGCACACAGATGTGATCACTGCACTGATAAAGCTGCAGTTTAGTGGGGAGGGTAGCATCAGATATATAATTACAAAACATGATGGATGAAATGGGAAAGACTTGAGTCCTACAAAGACATATACCAGGGGAATCGCATTTTGGATTGGGGTACCACCTTGTGAGGAAGTGACTCTTTATGCTGAGAACCAAAAGGTGAGAAAGCACCAGCAAGATAGAGTGGGAACAAGGGTTTCTTAAGCAAAAGAAAAGGCAGGTTAGTAGTTGTGGTGGAGGAAACAATCTGTCCTGTTGAAGTAACTGAAGCTGGGGTGTGGGAGCAAGGAGGGAGAGAGGTAACCAGGGAGAGGTGAGTATGTGCAGACCCATGAACTCTGGGCATTTAAGCTTTGGAATCTTGAGATGACTGGATTCAAATCTTAGCTTCTACTTTTACTTATGATATTGGACAAGTCACTTAATTTCTTTGTGAGTCAGTTTCGACTGCATTGAAATTATCTACTGGGCAAACTAATGTAGAATAAATGAATCTAAATGTCTGGTCCATAGCCCTGCCCGTTCCTTCTCTCCACCATCTGCTTCCTTTTCTCTTCCTGCATTTTTATTCAGCGCTATTGTTGTAGTTGGATAGTTATTTAACAGTGGTTTTCTTGGCTCTTTCCCATTACCTCGCAACCCAAATAATCAAAAACTGAATCATCTAGATGTTAATTATTGTTTAAGAAATTTCATTTCCATCATTGACATTATCATTATTAATTATAACAGATGCATTTACAATCAATTGTTAGAGTCTATCCTTGCTCTTAAGTCTGTCCTTGAGAGATTCTCAGGTTCATGTTGGCTTAACATTTTATTTACAAAATAGTTGTGATTTTTTTTAAACTTGGAAGATTGTTTTTGGTGCATAATATGAAAGCTGACTGTGTGACTTAGGAAACCAAAAATATTTATTCAGAAAACATTCATTGCAGTTAACTGTCATGTTGAAAAGACAGCTTTTTGTTTCAGGGCAATGAATGCAACACAGTATATTTTAGTTTATTAGCACTGTTGGTTGAGTGGTTATACAAAAATGCTTGGACAAATATTCCCAAATATAACAAGTGCCCCAGATTCTCCAACGTTAGGAAGATGTCACAGGATGTACTCATTCTTCCAAGTAAATGAACTAGATCAAGGAGTTCTTCTGTTTCTTTTTCTCCCCACCGTTATTATAATAGAGCATATTGTGAATGAATTTCTCGAAGTGGGAACTAGCACTAAAATCTTTCAAAAATGCTTTTACAGGGAGTTTATGCTTCACACCGTCTTAGTGGCTACCTCTGTGACCTAGAACTACACCTTTGGCTTCCATGGGCCTTAGGATAAAAGAGAACACCATTATGTTTCCTCCTAACCTCGCAGAATTGTCCTGGGGGTTAGACTAGATGCCATTTTTAAAATAGTTGAGAACGGGGAGCATTCATTCAACAAACCTGACTGAATGGAAAGAAACAAAAGTGCTCAGTATCAGTCTGGTCCAGGTGTATTATTTAATTGTAACAGCCTTACAGAGTAGCCAGGGCAGTAACTATAAAGTGCTAGGGGAATGGTAGGTGTTAGATGATGAAGATTTTTAGAATTCACTTTTTGTATTTTTCTAAATAATTAAATTCCACAACTACTCTATAACTCATTTTGTTGTTCATCAACCCGTGCTGTCAGTAGGTTCTTTTCCCTATGTAACCCTCTAACCCTTTCATTGTTTACCCTTGCCCTCTCGCTTTTTGAATGAGTTATAAAATGGTTCTCAACGACTTAAAACACTCATCCACTTTTTAGCCTTCTCTTTTAAGAAGTCATAGCTATCTCTTATCTTGTAGATGGTTTACTTTTTCTATTCTTCTATAGTTCTAAGTTTTATAGTTTTCCTGCCAGGTCTGCAGAACTTTTCCTCCTAGTCTTTTGTTTCCTTCTTGTTGTCTTTGTAGCTTCCTCTCTTTTTTCTATAAAGGAGTCTTACCTTCCCCAAAAGTTACACTGATGTCCCTTTTAACTGCTGAATTGTAATGTTACTTTCCCAGCATCCTGGGTTGAACCCCTCCCCCCCCCCCCGGGGGGGCGGTTTGCGAGAGCCTCCTGTGGTCTGATGGAAAGCTACGGTTACTAAAAATGCAGAGCACTGGCTATTCCCTGTACATCCTCCCTCTAGGCTGGGGTGCCCCCCTGAGGGGAGGCCTGACTCTCCCTGGGTCTCAGTGGAAGTGTTTCCCCTTCTAGGACAGGGTACATCAACTGAGTTCCATCAGAGGGGCTTTACTCCTTCCCTGTAAATATTATCTGATGGTGTAATTCGGAGGGAAAGGGGAGAGCCAAAGCGGGTTGTGCTGTGGTCTGCTTTTCCTGGCAGGACTATTGGGGCATGTTGTTCCTGCCTGTCCTCATAAGCTGATCATTCTCTTCCTCCTGGGGTGGCCTGGAGGTTGCTACACAGAGCAGTGTGACAGGCCACCAGCAAGGTGATAAAGAAGAGAACACCAAGGAGACCTCCCATACCCGGTACAAGGGAGAATGCTAGTAAATGAAAAGTCCTGAATCTCACACTTTCCTTCAAGTAGATGTCCCAGATGGAAACTCTCTGAATCACAGCCTGTAAATATTTTCACCCTTGGCTTATTTTCCTTAGACCTTTTGTTGTCAGGGAGAAACACAAAGAGGAAAAAAAAAAGTAGAGATGAAGGAAGAGGAAAGTTCAAAGAATACTTGGGAACTTGACTCTTAGCAGCAGCTATTCAAAAATATCTATTTAGGCAATGTTGAGAGCGACAAGGAGGATATGGACTTTACTGAAGGTGGCACGAAGGCAGTGCATTCAGTTTTACCAACTATTAAGTGACTGGTATATGAACATAAAAGACATGTTTATTGATTTACTTCAGGCATCCCAAAGAATGAAGTGTTTTTACAGGACAAAACAGTGAAGTGCTATTCAATTTCAAGTGTAAGGAGAACAGAGTCTAAAAACTAAAATTCTCCAATACCCAGAAATTATCTTAATTATTGACAAATATAAATTTTAATGGATTCATAACAGTAAAATACTATTCCTGGTTTTTTTTTGTTTTTTTTTTTTTTTTAATTTTTTTTTTTTTATTTATTTATGATAGTCACATAGAATGAGAGACAGAGAGGCAGAGACACAGGCAGAGGGAGAAGCAGGCTCCATGCACCGGGAGCCCGACGTGGGATTCGATCCCGGGTCTCCAGGATCGCGCCCTGGGCCAAAGGCAGGCGCTAAACCGCTGCGCCACCCAGGGATCCCTATTCCTGGTTTTTAAAATGAAGGGTCACCTATTTAAATTTAGTTTTTGAGAAATAGTACAAAGCCTAAAACTTATCTCTAAAAATAAAGCTCTCTAACTTATAATTTGAGGGCTATCTGATTTTAATATGAATTTCTTTGACAAGCTCTGTTTCCCTTGTGACAAAATGTCTCTTTTCAGTTTGAGTCATCATTGCACATTTATGAAATCTGACAATGCTGTTTTTACACTGCCTTAGATATTTGGGTCAAAGTGATGGGTGAGAGACATTGTGAAGGTGGAGTAATTTGACTGATTGGATGTGGGTGGTGAAGAAGGTTTACCTGGAGGTGACAGAGGGTTACAGAGAGACAGGGGGAAGCGGGCCTGGGGTACCAAAGGTGCACTTCACTGTCTTTACCATTTGCCTGCCAGTTGAATTCATAGATGCCTGAGGCTGTACTGTCTAACCTTCATTAACCTTTGAAATTAGCCAAGAAAGGGACTTTTCTCATAGCTAAGTCCAGGGTTCTGAAACTGGAGCTATAGGTATATTTGATTATAAGATCTAAATTTCTCTACCAAGTGCAACATCTATTCTCTCTTTTTTCCCCCCCATTCTCTTTTAGTTAGTAATGATGTTTATCTTAGAAGATACTCTTTCTTCTCTCTCTCTCTCTTTTTTTCTTTCTCTTTCTTTCAAGTAATGTCTTTGCCCAACATGGGGTTCCAACTCACAACCCTGAGATCAAGAGTCACATGTTCC